TCTGCCCCTCCTGCTTGTGCTCTTTCTCTCCCAGATAAATAAATACATCTTAAAAAAAAAAAAAAAAGACTAACCGGGATGCCTGGGTGGCTCAGTGGTTGAGCGTCTGCCTTTGGCTCAGGGTGTGATCTAGGGACCCGGGATCGAGTTCCACATCAGGCTCCCTGTGATGAGCCAGTTTCTCTCTCTGCCTATGTCTCTGTCTCTATTTCTCATAAATAAATAAAATAAAATCTTTAAAAAAAAGACTAACTTTGAGAGATACAATAAAAGAACAAGGAAGAGGTGAAAGAGAAGTGCCTTGGGCAGATGACAAAAGGAGAGAAAAAATTAAGGATGTGAACAAAAAGGGTAAAGAGAGAAGGGAAGAGTAGAGATGAGGAAAGGGCATGTTTGATATTCAATGGGATTTCTGGTATCTTGTGACTGCAAGAGGCTTTGCAGATTTTTGAGGTGGGGACTGAGGGTGTGGAAGCAGATAATGTCTTAGTTTTGCTTGAATAACTTTCTAGGCCCAAGATGGAGTGGCTCCTACCTGAAGTGTCACATCAGCAAACCCAATATGACTTCTGTATCCCTGTTGACGTAAACTCTGTTGGGCCAAAAATACAGTATATCCAGTCAGCCAGTCCCCAAACGCCAAGCCAACTCTATACTTCTTTCCTTCCTTCTTGTCCCAAATAAGATTAAATATGTGGCCTCAGCCAATCGGCTATTTTCAATTTTTCTCTTCTCTGTTCTTATTCTTTAACCTATAAAAGCTTCCTGCCTTCTGCCCCATTTTGCAGTTCTCTGAGACCATCCACCTCATGAAGTATTAAATAAAATGTTTGTAACACCTAAATTGTCTTTTATTTTTTTTTAACAATTCCCTCATTATGTGGGCTCTGTTTTGTTAGTAAGTAAATATGAAATAGAATTTTTTGGCAACATATTTGACTTTCTTCATTATTGTAATGCCTTTTCATGTTCAAAGTATATTCACTTGAATTTAAAAAAACGAAACACTTTGTGAGTATGGAAAAAGTAACTAAGAATGGGAGAGACGCAAGAGACAATATATAATTAGTTATAATCAACAAACAACATGTTTTCTTCTCCATATCCCTCTCATCACAGATAGAAGACAATATAGAGTCTTAATTTTTATATATAATTATAATGTGAAAAACACTGTTCCCTGTAGTATTTTTTAATGTGTGTGTACATTTAATTTCAGCAGACAAAAATGAAAAAACAGGACTAAGAAAGTTAAGATCTGAGCCAAACTCAAATTTTTGAACACTCAGGCCAGGGCCCTTTTCCAATAGTCTACATTCCCCGAGAAAAGGTCACTGGTGACAACAGTATGCTGTTTGACCTCAGGTGTCTGTAGACACTTCACATTCTAAGCAGCTTAACTTCTTTCCTGTTTTACAGAATAAAGCTCTTCAGGACAATTTAATAAAATAGCATGAGTTCCTGAAAGAATGATGTAAATTAATAGCTTAAATGTTTGTGGATTAATTATGAGTTAGCAATACAGAGAAACTTCGGTAAAAAATAAATAGAAAGTTTAAAATGCCGTAAGTTAAAGACTGAGACACCAATATTAAAGACTGAAGAGAACATGAAGATTATAAAGAGCTGAGGCTTAATATTCTTTCACAGTTCCAGGACACCTAGTGGCTCAGGGGCTGAGCATCTGCCTTCGGCCCAGGGCATAATCCTGGAGCCCCGGGATCGAGTCCCCCATTGGGTTCCCTGCATGGAGCCTGCTTCTCCCTCTGCCTGTGTTTCTGCTTCTCTCTTTCTGTGTGTCTCTCATGGATAAATAAAATCCTTTAAAAATATATTCTTTCACAGTTCCCTGAGCACAGAAGTACCTTAGCTAATAGTTGGTGCAACCACCCCTATGGATCACCTTTATCTGTTCCTGCTCTCCCGTCTCACCTAGTGTCTATGGTTTATTTTTTTTTTATTTTTTTATTTTTTTTTTTACTGTAAAGGCTTATAACTGGCACTTTCTTTATAGACCTAAATGTGGGTTATGAAAGTCAATACAGAGAATCGGAAGTGCCAATGTTGTTTTGTTTTGTTTGTTTTTTTTCCTGCACATCTCATTAAGATTTGTAGCCAACGATTGCCTGGAGCCAGACTATGGCAGCTCAGTGTCTTTATCTTCACAGGATGAACTCTGATATATAATTTATACTCCGGAGCTCCCTTTGGTCACTCTGAGTTTGACTGGCATTTTTTTCATTCCTGCTTCCCGATTCTTTATCAGTTATCCTGGGAGCTTTCTTAATTAATCACTTGCTTACAAAATCCTGTCTCAGGTCTGCTTTTGGGCAACTAGGTCTAACACAAAAAGCAAATCTATTTTGAATCCGTCCACTCACCCACCCATTCATATTTATCTATGCTTGCTACGTCCCCCTCTCTCTCACCTCCATCCAGGTACTTCTGTCCCCCATCCCACTCAAGTGAACAGGCGACATTCAAGACAGCATGGGGCACACTCTGTTCATTCTACACTTCTCTGTATCTGTATAATCATGTATACATATACACACCTGGGGGATATTTATGTTCTAAAATTAGGATGATTTGTACATATATTTCTTTGTATCTTTTCTTACCGAATATTTAGGTTGGCTCCTAATAAAGAAGGAAATTAGCACTTTAAGAGTTGTTCTAGTTATAAGTTTTATTTTTATTTTTTTTAATTTTTTTTATTTATTTATGATAGTCACAGAGAGAGAAAGAGAGAGAGGCAGAGACATAGGCAGATGGAGAAGCAGGCTCCATGCACCGGGAGCCCGATATGGGATTCGATCCCGGGTCTCCAGGATCGCGCCCTGGGCCAAAGGCAGGCACCAAACCGCTGCGCCACCCAGGGATCCCTAGTTATAAGTTTTATAAAAATAATTGCTTAGAAGTAGAAATCATTTTATAGATGCATATAGGTAAAATGCACAGTTAACAATATGAAGCCATAGTTGGGAAGAGTTTTAATCCTATCAGTCATTTTATGTTCTCTCTGAAAGGCTTCATAGTCTAACATCTTGGATTAGTTGTCTATACACTGTGTATTTGTATGAAAAGATAATGTTTTTTATTTAGTTTGTATACAGTTCTCATGCTATTGTATACTGGTTCAATGTTGTGTTATGTGTCAAATATTTCCTTAATTCTTCCTTAAATTAAATGATTTCTAATACTGATTTAGTGTGCTTTTTCATCTGGAGGTCTGTTTATAAAATTGACTTTTTCAACCCACTAGAAGAGTTGATACTTTCCTTTCCATTTTGTAAATGTGAAGTGTGAAACAGGGAGAGTAATTGAGTTTTCTTTGCCACAGGCATGAACTAGAAATCCTTGGATTCCAACTCTATGTTTACTACATGTTTAGTAACTCCATTAGCAGTGGATAATTGCCATTTTCTTACAAAATAGACTCCTTCATAACTATCTATTCTATGATTAAAACATGGAAATTATGTCGATTACCATCTTTCAGAATATTATTGATTTCTGAAATTTCGATTGGATGAATATGGTTCTTTTTTTTAATCTTACAGAATCTGTAAGATTTGTCCTTATGGGAAATTGTAAGTTATCTTCATCATCAAACATATGAAGTGTAAATGACTATAAAATGAGAATTATTTTCTATGTATAAAATGCAGCCTTCAAAAAACATAGAAGAGTATTCTGATTCTGGAAAGTTGCTTATATATGTGCCCATTGCTTTTTTAAATAATGAGAATTTTTGCATACCTAGAGATCTATTTAAACTAGTAGAAACTATGTATATTTTGTGACAGCATGCTAGAGGTTATAACATTTGAAAGGGTAGCTCAACAGGATTTCTGAGCACATGCTGGCCTGGCTAATGTACAGAATCTGTAATCCAATTAGAACTCAGTAAATTTCTCCTTTCTTAGACTATGGAGTTATTCCCGGGAGTTCATGATAATGACAGTTTTCATTGACTACATAATGTGGAAATTATTAGAGTGTCAAAAATAGATACAGCAGGCTACTGAGTTACCTCTCCCTTTTCAAACTTCTATTTGCTCAGAAGCAATAGAATAGAAGGGAGACTTCTATTTCTGTTCTTGTCCTGCCTGTATATCTTCAAAGGAAATAAAAATTTATTTGTGATGTCCCTTTGCATCTGGTATAAAAGAAGTTCCTTCTTACTGTAGCATACAAGTAGAAATTATATATATTTTTATTTTTAAATTTAATGTTCCCTTTATCAATATTCCAAAGCAGTATTAGCAGAATGAGACATATCAGAATTGCTATGTGGTCTGCTGTGTGTCTATAGTCACAATATCATAATGGTGAGGAAAAAGGGGGAGAAACAGAAAGAGGAATGTGAATACAATAAAGGTAAGGAAGTATATAACTTGGGAAAATATTGTAGTTGAGAATAATTTTAGATGACAAAAATGAAAATTAAGATTAAGTTGATTTATTCACCAGATTTATCTTGCTAGATTCTTTAAAAAGTGAAACAGCCGAACTAAACGTAAAGAAAAATTTTAATCCATCAGCTATTTCCACTTATCCTTTAAATCATCCTTTCCAAATTATAGTGAACTATACCTTTAAACTCATTAACAAACAGTATGTGTTACACAAACTCTTTCTAGGTTATAGCAATTCCATTTTACCACGTCTTCCAAATGAATTCAAAAACAATGTTATGTCAACTAAACTGTATGTTGAAGGAGTTACTACATCTTACTATATTAAAAAAATCCCTATAGTAAGTCATGACAGAAATGAACATCTTGTGTCTTCTACTTTATAATCTGATGTAAAACAAGTTAATTAAGAAAGTATAAGCATAATAGTAAATTAGAGGGTTTTCAAAGACATAGTAGGTATGAGGTTAGGTCAAAGAACAGATTTTAAAGTAAAATAATATAACAACATGCTCAATATATACATATATACACATATATGTATATGTAGTTTTTTAGGAAGCTCCAAATAAGACCTACTTTCTCATAGTACTTGATCTCGTAGTCCAGAATGGCTCCATTGGAAAAAGCAGGTGCTTGCCATGATAGGGCAATGCTATTTTGGGATGCCCAGTCCTTCCTTACCACACCTATCAGGGAAGGTGCTGAAAGGAAAGAAAATAACTAAGAATTAATTGGCAGGAATCATTCTCCATAATCCTTTCTTTAATATTTTGTCTTCCAAGGAAAACAGAACTCTTGTTGAAGAGGACAGCAATTATTGATGTCAGATTAAAAAGAAAGCCTTAGGATCTACTCTATTTAATCCAAATAGAGTATTAAAATATTTTAGAAACATTACTAGGGAATAGGAAAACTCAAATAGCCCAGGAATGAGAGCCAGAACTCCTCACCATAGTCTTTGTTAGAGGAGGACATTTCCCTATAAACTGGCTTTGATTTAGGCTATGACATGAAGTATAATACACTTGGAATATATATATATATATATATATATATATATATATATAATCAAATTTAAGTCTGCTATAGAAAAATACTCTGCAATTACAAGATCATTTATAGGCTTTTCTTTCTCCTCAAGATTGGTACTTTATAAAGACTTAGTACTCTATAAATATTTATGTCACAAACTTCTTTTTTTATTTTTTAATTTTTTTATTTATGATAGTCACACAGAGAGAGAGAGAGGCAGAGACACAGGAAGAGGGAGAAGCAGGCTCCATGCACCGGGAGCCCGATGTGGGACTCAATCCTGGGTCTCCAGGATCGCGCCCCAGGCCAAAGGCAGGCGCCAAACCGCTGCGCCACCCAGGGATCCCTGTCACAAACTTCTTAACTATAAATTATTGCATATCAACATGAGAATTATTTCTTCTGCATGATTTCTGTGACAGTTGAATAAAAGTGTAACAAATAATTTCTGAAGTTTATTTTCAGAATCATGTCCTTCCCCCCCTTTATAACATTGTTTTAACAACCCAATCCTAACCTAATTTTTTTAAAGATTATTTATTTATTTATTCATGACAGACACGCACACACACACAGAGGCAGAGACATAGACAGAGGGAGAGGAAGAAGCAGGCTCCCCTTAGGGAGCCCAAAGCAGGACTCCATTCCTGAACTCCAGGATCATGCCCAATCAAGCAGAGCCCAATTGCTGAACCTTTCAGGCATCCCTCCTAACCTAAACTTGCATTAAATTTCCGAAATTGCCCTTGCATGTATATATCATACATTCTTTCCTCTAATAAAATAGTCATTTTAAAGTATTCTAATTTTTAAAAACAGTATGTTTTTACATAGAAGTTAAAATTCATCCATAAAAAGAGAAATATAAATGAAATATACTGAGGTTCCATTTCTTACCAAACAGATTGGCAAAAATCCAAAAATTTGACACCAATCTCTGTTGACTAGGCTATGGGGAAAACCTCTTTAATACATTGTCAGTGGGAATGCAAAATGGTACAACTTTTATGAAGGGAAATTCAACAATTTAAGGCAAATTATATGTTCATTTACACTTGGGCTTTTTGGAATCTATCCCAAAGATACAATGAACAAACATAAAGTGACATATTTACAAGACTACTCACTGAGGTTTATTTGTAAATATTGGGAACAATTTAACTGTCCATCAAAAAGGGACTGATTGAAAAACTATTCTACATCCACCAGAGAACTATGACCATAAATACTATAATGAAGTTTTTTTTCAGGATATAAAGTAAGGTGGGAAAAATGTATAAAAAGCAATGTAAGGCTAAACCCAAGAATAATAAAAAAATGATAACACTGGATACCCTCAGGGGTGGGAGACAATAGGATGGAAACTATAAGGTTAGAAGATAAAAGTCTCCAAATCTGCCTTCCCTTGAAGATTTACTTTGGAACCCTGTAAATGGTTAAAAGCTTAAAAAGCAAATTAACATTTAAAAAATTGAATCTATGTGTTTATGTTGAAGGTTAAAGCAAATGAATAATCATTTTGATGTTATTGAGGAGTAGGTCAGTTTGTTTTTCCTATGGGAAATGGAAATACAGATGTCAGACCAAGGAAGGTACATAAAAACTCTATAATGGTAAACTCATAGTGTCTTTCCAGCTAATATCCAGAAATCTATTCAAATGAACCAATTGGAAGTGAGAATAGAACTTGAAAAACTGATTCTCTATGATTAAGTTTCTAAGAAAGACTCCAGTATTTTTTTTTCTGAATGCTGCCTTTGTTTTTTAAGGATAAAGTGTATCTTAAACTTTTGAAAATGACAAGATTCTCCTAAGGAAATGACTATTCTAGAAATTATATTTAGAACTCTTTCTAGCTGTTCAATGAAAGCATTATTGTTGCACTACAATATATCCTAAATAATGAGTGATAATTACTAAATATTTCTAAAAATGGAAGTTTGTGCTATAACCTAAAACAGATATGGATAGCATGGTGAGTATGAAAGAAGGCTCAGATAATTTACTATTTACATTAAGTCATATTCATTACTAATAAGCTACCATTAATAAATTTATTCCCGTTGGAAATTGCATTAATGTTTTTTGAATTGTAATATAATAATGTATTAAATGAAGCTTTATAGAAAAATTATAACTTTAAGGTCAATTATACAAATTAGAAATTGACAAATATATCAGTTCATTACAAATTTTGAAAATCTCTTTTTCATGTATACAATCTTATGGTTAATTTTCAGTTTAATGTACAATGTCATAAGTACTAATACTACCAGTATACTACATTTTGCCACATAATTATTTAGCACTCAAGGTCAAATGGTATAATCTTTGCAAAACTGATAATAAATTCAATTACGGCAGCATATTAGAATGACTATTGATTTATACATAGGTACTATCTTTTCTATTTCCAATTCTCTACTGGTTAATTAAGAGTAAAGGTACATCACCTAGATTTTATGAGTCCTTTCCTATACTTCCATAAAATAGAAATAATGAAAATCTATTCCCTAACTACTCTGGGAAGTACTATTAACTAGACCATGCTCTAACTACTCTAGTTATAGATTCTTCACTTATAGATGGACTTCAGGGTGGAAGAACTATATAAACTCTAAAATTTTTTCACTTTTGCACACCCCTTTCATATGTAAATATCCATATTTTATATAGTCACAAAATATGCATAATTTTAGATAATTATATTTTTAACTATATATTCAAAATCCTGTTTCATATTTTTATGTTGTCTCCAAAATTATTACTTTAATGGATAAAATATTCAATTATGTTTATACTTTATCAGATCATCCCCCTAATGTTGAAGTTTCCAATATTATCCTGTTTGAGTTCTCACACTTTATGCACACATTTTTTATTTTGTTCATTTATTTTACAGAGAAAAGTGCTTTATGTAATTTGGATTTTCTGAGCCATACTGTGTTTTAATACATTGCTTTTGGAAGGAGCTGCACAATATACACTAGGCACACATTTTAAACAGTTAATGAGTTAAAGCACAGGATGTGGGAAACAATTTATAGGTCAATATACACCCCAAATGCCGCATTTTCTATTTTCTGAGAAGGCTAGCATCATATGGAATTTTATTTTAAAATATGGCTTTAATACATGAAACCTCAAAAATTTGTTTTGGATATATTTAATAAATTTGTTTTTTAATAACCCGAGTTTATGTAACATCTGAATTTGACATATTGTGACAACACAGTAGTACCAACAAAATTAAAGGGGAAAACACATTTATTCCTCCACATGAGGAAAACTAATTTTGGAACACCAAGGGCAACTATTGATTTTTACTTCTGATTCTAAAAAGTCAGAGAAGGAAATAGGGAAATAATATCTTCTGGAGTCTGAAGGCTCAAGCAATGTTTCCTGAGTTCAGAATTGTGTATTCAGTATAGTTTTCAGTAGAATTGTATTTCTGATATACCTCCTTTCTTAAGCCTTCAAAACCTTAGCTTTGACCTTCAAAATAAATGATTATTGAATAGATTACCACGGTTCTGAAAATGGTTTTAATACAAACCTTTCTGATTACTACATTTTCTGAATCTCAAGTAGTTTACCAAGAACTACGTGGCAAAAGAAGAAAAGTACATAGTGGAGTTAGTGAACAAAGGAGATTTTATTCACATTACAATGAGTGGTATTTTCTAATGCTTGCATGGAAATATCTGAAAGAACAGTAAATTATTCTAATTATATTGCTTCAAATTAAGATTCAATTGTGTATGTGGTTTGGTGAAAAAGAGAGATAGAGGGAGAGCAAGAGCACACTCCTACGCACATATGTTTGTGACACTGAAAATCCTAAAAGTGAATCTTAGGACGAGGACAGACCTTGTAAGTCATTGCATACATTTTTTTCAGCAATCCGGAAAATCTCTCAACGTGTCCTTGTTAGCTGATTATCCACTTCTTGCTTCAATGGTTGCTGTAAAGAGTATACTACTTCAGAAGGCCACCTATTTCCTTTGGAAAATCTCTAATTGCTAAAATATTCTTCCATAGAGTCATTGTTTTCTTCCTGTAACTTCAACCTAGGGCCTGGTTCTTAAAGTTTAGCATTAACAGAATTAAGTCTTCACTTTTGCTCATCTATTATACTCTTTCTTCTCTCCTTTTTTTCTCTCTCTTCTTCCTATCGCCTTTCCTTCCCTTTTCCTTCCTTCCTCTCTTCCTTCTTCATGTCTTTTTCTAGCCCTTTTCATTCTCTTTTTAAAAATTATTTTCCTTTCTTTTCTTCCCTGTGCTCCTTCTCAGAGAGATGTGTGTGCTTGTGTATGTGTGTATGTGAGTGTGTGCGTTAGGGAAAATATAGTCAATGGCATCACGAAATGTAAACAACAATAACATAATGAGTAAATGATATACACCAGAAGGTGCAAATCAGGACAGACTTTTAAGACTGATTTTCCCTTTTCCTTTGCTAATGAACTGATGGGTTTACTTGCAAAGCAAGAACAGATAGGAGTGCTTCATTCTGTAGATGCCAGAGAGAGGGATATGCTGTGATCAATACCATGATTTTACGTATGAAGTTTTGTCAATGTGATGTTTATCATATGAATTGACATTTTTGAAACCTGAGAGCATGCGTAAAACTATTTTTGATCTACATCTTGTTTTGGAAATGTTG